TTTATATTTTTTTATAGTAAACCATCTTTGATAAATGTGTTTCCATATGCGTAATTCACATATGTATAATCTACGTGTCTCGTATAAAACGGAACGCATCCTTCGTGTTATATGGGAGTGTAAAGCGTCGTCTACAATGGCAGCAGGAGTATACAATAAGACGTAAGCAGTGTAGGTTATTGACTAATGGGATTTTTGCAATTCAGGAATAATCGACTGCGGTTGGTTAATAGTTTACTGCTTACGTCTTACTGCATACTCTTTTATACGGCTATTGTAGACGAGCCATAATAATGTATACAAATTCGCGCTTAAATCCGACTGGCGTAATTATTATCAGTATTATTACAACATTTTGAACTTTGTCGAGAACCAATTTGTAAAAATTATTTTCTTCCTTGTTATATAAGCATACACATAATATATCGTCAATTGTGCCTCGTAAAATTTTGGCCCGCAAGATATTTACTATCTGCACTTTTTACAGAAAAAGTTTACCCCCCGCCTGGCTCGGAATAAAGAAAAGTCGATGGATTATCCTTGTTAAAATATCGTGCGGAATCGCTCGATTCGCCTCGCAGGGATTCCGCCTCCTGAATCCTCTCCCGCGTATCAACCGGCGGAAAAGTAAAATGGCCGTTGGCGCACATCGGCCGTGCTCTTGTTGATCGATAAAAGCGTCGCGACGCTGGGCGTGTCCGTTCCATGCCGCCTCCGCCAACGCCCCGCGAATCGTCGCGAATCTCCCGGAAATTTTACGGATAAGTGGCCTCGACGAGAAGGCTGGATCCCACCGACGACAAGGTGCCTTCTCTCAAAGGGTCGAGAAAGGAAGACGTTGAGATCCATGAAGCTGACGTTTCGCAAAATGTCACGTTAATCGTATATATTCGTGTCATCTACATGACGTAGAGACACGAACGATTGAGTTGGTATCGTACCATTAATTTCTTTCGTTCTTTAATTACGGATCAGGGAGCGATCCATTAGCGTCTCGTTCGCAAAACGCTGGCGAAAGGACGATTCTTTTGCGTCTA